GAAATGACAAAATAGAAAACAATCAAAAAGAGGTGCCTAATACAACGATATAATTTACACAGTTCTTAGTAATATTGTTATTCAAACATACGAGCCATCTAATTACTATACTGGCTCTGCATATTAAGCAGTGAAACTCTTGATTTAATCAAACGTTTGAACATACACTCCAATCTTTCCTCAACAACTGCAATAACTAACTCCATCTCCCTCAACTGCTGCTTCAAGTCCTCGATTTTCGAGCCCATCTCGCATTTACTAACAAATTTACTCAATGAAGCATCCAAATCTCCGAATTCAAGACTCGCGCTTTTTGAACGCCCACCCGATTTTTTCCTCGATTTTATGAGCCAGCTGGCGACAAGGGCCCACCGGCCACTCGGCCGCACGCCAGCCACGCTCGACAAAAGCTCCTCGAACAAATCGACCGTCAAATACTCGGTCTCTTTAAGCATGCTTATGATGGAAATTGTTTCTTGATCATCCTTGTCGAGTAGTGTCGAAAAAGATTGCTTGTTCTTGAAGCTACCAATAATATATGATCTCAACGACTTTCGAATCCTCTTTTTGATCGATTTTCTCGACGAGAGGAACTCGGAAAAATCATATTCTGAGTCGAGTTTTTTGCGACGGAGGATGAAAAGAAAGTTTGAAATTTGTTCTTTCGAATGGGACAAGAAATCTTTAGCCACGGAACAGAAGTCCACGAGGCGAAGATATCCTTCCAAGATTTCATCGACCCATTTTTCGTTGCGCTCTCGGGCGAAAACTTGGCGAGTGTGGGGCAAAAGGAGTAAATCGTGCACGTGATTATGTAATTTTTCGAGGTCGTGAAGCTTTTGGGTGATCGAACGTAAAGAGGTCGAGTCGTGTTCGGATTTTAGCACGTGCAAATGCTCGTCGAATAGAGGGATTAGAGGGTGTGATCTTGAGGGCAAGCTAGAAGATTGGCTTAGGATTTTGGATCTAATAAGAGGAGTTGAAATCATGTTTATAGTTTGTGACTTTGTGTTGTTTTTCTTCTTTGGTTTAGTTTTTGTGTTGTGAGAAAAAATTGAGGTTTGTGATTTTATTTTGGAGGTTTTAAAGGGGAATCCAAGTGATTATTAATTATTTTTTGATTTGGATGTGTGGGGATGCTGTCGGGGTCGGGCAGTGTCCTCGGCAAGTTTCTCTCACGTTGTCTCCAACTTTACTTGCTAAGATGAATTTTATTATTATTGTTATCATGTAAGCATAATTATTGAGATTTTTCGAATTGGTATTATCACAAATACTTCTTTTAGACTGTCAAATGGTTAGTCTGTCTGACTTATTGTATTTTTTGAAGGAACGAAAATGTATATTTATTTTATGAGTTGTTATATTTTGTGTTTTTAAAACGTATAGCGTTTAAAATGAAATGTGTGTTTATTGAAAGTGAATGGTTATATTTGTCAAATATCATATTTATTGTAAATGGTTTGTGAATAGTTGTGGCATGCACACATTGGTGATATATTTTTTTTAATATATAACATCATCAATGTGTGCATGTCACATCAATGGTGGACATATTAACATGTGTCCATCGTGCATAGGTGAGCATTTTCGATGTATCGATCGGAAATTGAGTTTATATCACTGTATCATCGTAATCAGTTAGGTTGGGCCGAGCAGTTCCGAACCCAAACCTGGCCCGAAATGCGTTACACGTCAGCTAATTAATGCTGACCTGCCACCTAGCCTACCCTAGCTCCTTATTTTTTTATAACTATTTCATACTTTCATATATAAATTTTATAATTTATAAATATATACAGTTTAATATTGTAAATATATACATATACCTGGACTTGCATCGTTTATTAAACATCATGCCAAATTGTCGCCCTTACATATGAGCTAAGAATTTTGATTTAGTATTATCACAAACCAGTGTGTGGTCCGTTCGATGCATGGGAAAACAATATTTTGAATGTATTATAAATTAAATAAATAAATAACATTAATCATGATTTATCCATTATTTTTAAATTAAACTGAATTGGACACAGTCCGACTAGATGGACCGAGAACCGGTTTATAACCAGTCTATTGCGCTTGAATAAAATATTTGCTATTGAATCCGTCAACATCAGTATGTTGGACTGGTAGGATCGATACGATTTTCTAAACAAAATTTGTACATTAAAAATTATTTTGAATAAAATTACATATTTAAATAAAATAGAGATTTATAAATTGTTTATCAATTAGTTTAAACACTTGAATTTATAAATTGTTTAGATATTTAAGTAACACTTTTTATTTAAATTTATTACAGAAAGTACTATATATGTATATATATATATTAAAGTATTATATATTAAAATCTGAACAACCACAAATGATTTAATAAAATAACTTGATCGTTTCGATGACGGTCCGGTTCTGAAAACCTTGTATTTACCGTACACTAATAAAAATGATAATAAAATAATTATTTTGTTCACATAAATAATAATAAAATAATATATAAATATTTATAAATCATTAATCATGTTGTCGTAAAAGTATTGTTAATATGATTACTTGAAGTTTGGATTACATAATAAAGTATTTTCAATATTAAAATTTATATTTATGTTCAATAATCAATTTGGTCTGGTCAAACTGATACATAACTTAGTTACCTGGGACCAACCAAGTTATGTCAAGTTTTTTGACTATTTTAAATATCACCTAAAAGTAATTCAATCAACGTGGGCAGTACCCTAATTCAATTACCCGATTGATCCAAAGTAATTTCATTATTTACTTTAAATATAATATTTTATTTTATGAAATAAAAAAAAAATTATGATTCATATGTCTACACCAAATGATAGTATATTAAGATTATACATTATATATCTAAAGATGAATTATTTATTTTTATTTTATGCATATTAATAAAAAATAAACATAGTAATTTAAAAAAAATCAAGATTAATTGATTGGGTATGTAATTTAAAAATTAATTTTAGCGTGCAATATATATATATGTATATATATGTATATATATATGTATAACATGATTGAATTTTTGGATTAGAATATATATATTTAAAATGATTTTATTATTAAAAGTCAAAAAGAAAAGATGCCATAAAGATTACAATTTTGAAAAGTTTGTAACCATTAATTTAGGAACCATCCGATTTTAAATGTTTTATAATTTTTGAAACAGGATACGTCATCTAAAACCTATTAATTTAGGAACCATCCAATTTTTTGATAATGAATTAAAATTAAAATGTAAAATAAAAAAATTGCTGAAAATCGTATATAATAAATGTGGGTTGACTTTTCCTTACTACTATTTATGGTAAATGTTGAAAATATGTATATATATTATATATATGCAAAGGAAATGGTTAAATCGGTCTAATAGTAAGGCTGGCATTTTTGGACCGAAAACCGAACCGACAAGAAAAAAAAACCGAACCAAACCGACTCACTTAAAACGGTAACCGATTATCGGTTACCGATATGTTATCGGTACGGTATCGGTTCTGAAACCATAGAGGTTCGGTTTTACCGAATCGAACCGATAAGGAACTTAATAAAAATAATACTTAATGTTAATAGTTAATAACTTAATACTAATATCAATAACTTAATACTAATAACTAATAAGTAATAACTTATGTTATATAGCTTGTGAATGCATGATAGAGCAAGAGCTTTTGGATATAATTACTAAGCAATATTCAGGACTTGAAAACCATCATAAGCAATATTCAGGAAATTCAACAGTTGTCGACATTCATTCTGGATATTGGATACCCTGTTCGCGGACAAATTTTCCTCAGCAAAAGTCGTAGTATGCTCGGCCACTTTGTACATTTGTGGATTAATTTTATGGTTTGTATATTTCTATTAATCACTGTATAAGTACAATAATTAAAATTTGATGAGTATTAATTTCATGCATGCTCCTCTCACCCATTAACAAAAAAATAATAAAATAAATAAATAAAAATCGGCCCTCTCATTTGTTATTGGTAAATTTCGGTTTTTTCGGTAGGAAACCGTTACCGAACCGAGTTATCGGTAACCGAACTCGGTTCGGTAACGGTTTCCTATTTGTAGTTACCGAAATAATCGGTTCGATATCGATTTGGCCTTATCGGTTCGGTAACCGAACCGATATCATCCCTATCTAATAGAAGCATTATTGTAGGACTAGAATTAAATGTGGTACGAAGGTCACCGACTGTCTTGTTCCAAGAAAGAGTGTCAATGTTTGCGCATGTTTCACTCTTCTTCTTTTACATGTAGATAAGAAGTGTAAAAGCACATTAGGGGAAGGTTTTATATGTCAATATGTAATTAGATTGTAAAACGAGCCAAACTCGAGCTCGTGATACTTGAGTTCTTGCTCGAGCCCTAGTCGCTCCACACCGAGCTTGGCTCGTAAAGTTAACGGCTGGTCAACGAGCTTGATCTTGGCTCGTTAACGAGCCGGTTAAATAAATAAGGCACTGATGATTTTTGACAAGGTCTTTCAAATATTGTGCTTGAAATGGAAGATTAAACAACACAGACATGCAATGCAATGAATCGAATGAATCTTTGAAATTGACAATAGAAATCGGGCTAATTAATTTTCTTGCCTAGCTCCCTGTTCAAATATGTCTAACCTTTATTATGGTTTTTCAACATTGATATACTTTTTTTTTTTAGTATTATCGAAATCCCAGCAAAAAAGACACACTTTATATAACTGTGTTGCCTTTATTTGAGATGGAGCCCAAGAAATAAAATATGACACGTCTTGCCACAATATTTCCGTACATTTATTTTTGTATTCAATCAATGTACGGTACGGTTAGCTAATCAATGCAAAGTCCGGCTATGACCACGCAATCTCCCGACTCAAAATGGGTCCTTTTTCTACCTTCAATTAGAGTTCAACCAATCATCATAATTATTTGCGAACATAAGTTTGATTCGGCTCATGAAAGTTCGAAATCAACTTTCGTGTACATAAACAAACCAGAAACTGGTAAATGAGCTTGTTTATTAAACGAGATGAACCGAACTTGTTCTTGAACAACTCGTCTTTAAATTTTATATTTTTATCATGAGTTTGGAATGAAACAATAGGGCGCCGGAACTTGTCCGCAAACAGACATTTCTTTTTCGCGAACAACTTATTTGAAATTTTAGATTTATTAAACGAGTTGATCCTTTGTCTCATTTATTAAACGAGCTACTTAGCTCGGCAAGACTCGAATAATACTCTTACCTTCAATCAATCAATATCACATGTCAGTATTGAATTAAACTGCAAATGGATCTATATAGTGTATTATATATTAATGTTTTTGGTAAAAAAAAATGATTCTATATAATGTAACATAAATTGCTTCCTAGTTTTACTTTCTTATACATGTTTTCCTCCTAAAGAACTCACATAACTTGCGCGTATGTTCCTCCTAACTATTTGAATACCGCCCATGAAACGATTTGTGTATGTTCCTCGTATAAAATGATTTTTCTTGCAAGACAGTTCTAGACATCAATACCATGAAATTACCTAGTTCACCACCACTAATCAAATTTTTCCAGACAGAAAAATATCTACACAAGCATATACTCTATACTATTGAACATATACTCTCTTATTTACTACAATAAATAATCATTGAAGGTCAGCCTCCTCTCCTCATTTACTTTAATAAATACATCATTGAAGGCCCAAATAGTTATTATACAAGGAGAGAACGTAAATAAATATAGATAATTGAAGGCCCTTATTATACAAAGCTAGTTTTAGAAAATTTATTTCCTTTTGAATTATTTCAAGTTTTTTTTTTCCCTCAAATTTTAAACATAAAGATAAGAGAACGTAAATAAATAAACTCCTTTAAATGCTCTAATCTCTTACTCTACTCCACACTAAAAGTTGTTGGAAGATTCTAAAAGACTTTTAGGATGTTACTAAGAATAGGATTTTATGGGATTTTAATAATTTTCATGG